CCCCCCACACACACACACGCACAAAACTTCCCCCACCTTCCTCCCAGTAACACGAGCACTTCTGCAAAAAGAGAAATGGAACGCGTTAAAAATCGAAATACAGGTTGCGTTTTGGTAGTCCTGTGCTATTCCTACCTTACGTACCGTTGGACTGCTTCTGAATCAGATAAATTGAAAGTAGTTTGAGTTTCGCAATCCCAATCCTTGTGCTCAGCAAAATTGTCTTTCAAAGGAATTAGGAATGTGTAGTTCGATAGAAAAAAAAATATATGTGAAGGTGACGGGTCGAATGCGTGAAATTCGCATTTCTATGTCTGCTCAAGCTTAGACGGTCTTTGCAAAATATTGATTTTTCACTTAGTCATAATAATTTTAACACTATGTTTCTTGCATAATACATCCTGTTCACAGTACTGTAAATAAATTTTCAAATCAGTATGCAATGCAAGCTGCTTTTAGAGGTGAATAGTTGTATTTTACTATTCAATTTATTTTTACATAAGTTCGCAAGCCCAGAGAAATTTTGACTAACATTGGGATAGCTATATCAAACGAAAGATAAAGAGTGATTCATGCGACATGTATTGGTACGTAGCTATTTATATAAGATATCGATTGGCATCTTTTTTTTTTATGAAAATTGCAAATTTTGATATCAATTTTCTTAAAAAGGCTATTTTTTTATTTTCTTCCAACTTTTTTACTTCATGGCCTCCCTTCGGAAGTGCGTCTGTTCGCCGATGACTGTGCCATCTATACACCGATTCACTCAAGCCACGATCAACTAATCTTGCAGAACGATCTCCAACTCATTATTCAGTGGTGCCATAAATGACAAATGAATTTAAACTATAATAAATGTAAATCACTATCATTTTCCCGCAGTTCACATGTTCTATCTTCCTCTTACCACCTTTCTAGCATCCCAGTAACTGCTTGTTCATCGTATAAATATCTAGGAATTCATGTGACATCTGACCTGTCATGGACCACTCACATAGCATCTGTCATCGTGGATGCTAAACGCACTCTCGGATTTCTTCGAAATGACCTCAGAGAAGCTACATCCCCAGTAAAACAACTAGCTTATACTACCTTGGTCAGAAGTAAACTAGAATTCGCTTTTTCCATATGGCCACCGTGGCAGGCATACCTAACTAACAACCTGGAATCCGTTCAAAGCAGAGCCCTCCGTTTTATTCATTCCGACTTTTCCCCCCACGCAAGCATATCAGGATTTCGCCAATCAGCTAATCTTGACGCGCTCTCATACCGCCGCAGGGTGGCCCACCTCAGCCGCAGATGTGGGGGGTGCAGGACGGTGCGGACTCCGTGTTTCGCGCTTTTCGCAAGGTGACTGGGTGAGTGCTTTTGCGAGGTATGCGGAATATGCAAACGATTTTGTTATGCCCGTCGTTTGCGTCTCTCCAGCAAAACGAATAAGATGATCTACTACAAAGGCGCAATCACAAGCCAAGATTTACGATAACGGTGCGTTTGATTTGGTGGTCTGTGTAGTTGTATCTTACCCTGCTTTCTGCAACACCGTGTCATGACGAAGAGCTGGAACGTTCACGGTTTGTGCTGGGCTACCGACTGTGGGTTGACAGAAGCCCGCATCGCCCTCATCGGCACTCAGTGCACTTGGACTGTTGTAAAGGCTCTAGGCCAGTGGTCTCAAACTCATTCAAGTGTGGGGCCCAAATAGCTCACACCAGAAAGGTCGCGAGCCAACGTAAGAGGGGGGGGGGGGGGGGGGGGGGGGCAGGCAAAAAATTTTATACAGAAGAGACCTCGCTCTCTATGCTTTGTGTAAAATCACAGTTTCGCCACTGAGGTCGTTCGCTTTTATGTATTTTATGACTACTCTGGGTCCTGCCGTGATGTGATAACTAGAATTGAAACGACACCGCTTTACCAACGTGCTGCTATTTTTAATAGAGCAAGGGACAAAGTACACTGACGTTTCCCAGCTCTAAACATCTTTATAAAAAATTTAAAAAATCGGTTAATTATGCAGTTCTTGCTTTCCTTGCGATTTTTATTACAACACTCTGAGCAAGCACTTGTCTTTTAATTGTGACATTTTTTGAACGCGAGGATCCCGAGCTCGTAGCTTGATCTTTGGCTGTTGCTCCGGCTGATCGAAAGTTTGAGTAGCCCAAGATGCACCCTTTAACGAATAGCTCGCGCTTGAAGCCTGGTAGCGGAACAGTTCTACATTACAAAAAAAGCTTGGAAGCAAAAAATAAAGCGAAACATAGGGCAAATAAACACAGATAAGTATAAACTATGCGAATGCGTTAAAAGAGCAGAGCTACTTTTTGAGCAAAAATGAATCGGCGAGAAGAGATCACGAAGCCGCATGCTTTTTCTAGCGCTCGAGACATGGGAACCGCGTCTCGTAGCCGGTTGCCTGTAGGCCGCGCCCCAGCGAATCACGGGTAACATGCGGCCCGCGGGCCGCGTGTTTGAGACCCCTCCTGTTGATGCTCAACAGCAGGGGTCAGCTGATCCGGATCAGCTGATCCGGCTGCTCGACGGTGAGGAAGCGGCGAAAGTGACCTCTGAAGTAAATCTAAATCCTTGCTCATCCAGTTATCCGGTGTCAAAGTGTGGAAGGTGTCCAACGTGTACTGAGGACGGGAACTACGAGCGTTCTGCCTTGCTTATGTAACCGAAACCAGAGCAGCGAGATAACTGCCTTGCGTACTCCAAAGTGATAGAAGCAATAAGTAATAAAAAACCAGTTTTTAGGGTTTCAAACCAAGTAAAAAAGAGAAATATAATTAAACTTGGTTGTCTGTGTGCCGGAGGACTCATGTAACACAACAATACATCCTCTTTCCAAAACGAAAAAAAAAAGTAAAACTCAATCCGTCGTATATAGCAGTAACTTCTTCGCTGCAAAACCTGTGCTGGTAACGTAAGCGGTTTTAATATGGCCGCCCCCGCTTTGCGCCGCGTTCGCTTCCTCCCCCCCCCCCCCCCCCCCCCTTGGTGAGAAGCACGGTAAGCGCGAGGTTCGCCCCGTCCCGCGACATGACGCAATTGTTTTTGCTGCATGTCTGTCTCGGAGACATGTTTCTTTCCGCAGCATTTGTTTCCACGGTCCTTTCTGCGTGTGCCCACAAGCATTCGGGTGCTTCGATAGTCGGCAATGCTGCGGTCGTCGCCGGTAATGATGCATGTTTTTGAGGTCGGCTACACGCTTATGCGTGTATTAAAGAACCTAAACATATTCTTTACAACCTCGCATGATTTTTGAATGAATTATCTATTACTCAACGTGTAAATGTATGGCAATTTGTGTAAATAGCGTGTTTTTCACCCCTAATATTCCCCAAATACACGCGACTTGCTAACAGTGTGGATCGGGAAGACATCAGTGAGGGGCCCTCGGCCCAAATGAAAAACAAATTCTAACGTGCGCATTTTCGCTTTACTAACGCTCCGAGAGCTTTGTTTGTAACCCTTAGCCGGTTATCACCGCATACATGTACTGCGGCGAATACACGTCTAAAAGTGGCCACTTAAACGCGAAATTGCGCTTACCGCGAGAGGCGTTGCTATTTAGTATCTTTTCCTGGCGAACTATAGACGTAATATTCGCAGTGTGCCTCGCTTTTCTAGGGCTATTTAGGGTTTTGAAATTGGACGCTCTCTGCCCGTGTGACGCGCGCGAGATGGTCGCTCTCTTGTCGGGTGCTCTGGCGGTTGGGGCAATGCGAGCTCCGGCTCTCACGATTCAAACTTCAAATGTTTCTCAGAATGAATTCATGGGATGAGTCTTTACGATCCCGTGAAAAATCTCTGTAAACCACCTCCGGTTCGGAGTCAGTAGCACCTACAGTTCGGGATACGAAACCGCCGGAAGTTTAGTGGTAACGGATGCAGCACAATGAAACCAGATGAAAGAAAGGTGACAAATTTCCGCCTTCCATAATTCAATTCGACGCTTTCAAACCTTATCAGCTTGTAAGCACTGTACGTGCTGCCGTTAGATAAGAAAAAAAACTGTGAATTGATTATCATTTTTATAGTATATTTCTTTAACTGCACCACTGAGAAACATCTTTGGGGAAAAAGACTCAACCGTCAAAGGGTTAAGCATTGATATTGTTTGAACCCTAAGTACGGCATGACCCAGCCTTGGTTACTTTTATTTATTTATTTATTTATATATTTATTTGAAAATACTGTCAGCCTTCTGTTGAAGACTGTTACAGGCAGATTATCTATCGTGATGACACATAAAAAAGCAAGCATAAGAAATGGACAATGTAGCAGAAACTGCTGTTCGAACAAGCATTCACAAAAAGGCACAACCTTCGCCCTCTAAACAAATAAACAAATTAAACGGGCTTGTGTGTAAGCCTGCCGATGAGATTATTATTAAAACCGAAAGAAAACGACCAACAATTCTCTCATTTCCACGCTATTTCAAAAGAACTCCGTCGCAAAGTGCGTGGACACAGCAGATTAATTAGCCTTGTTTCGAAAGCATCGTTAATACAAGATACGTCACTCCCACAATTCTCTTGGGAGCTTTATGGACCAACAACGTCTAGATCTGAACCGCTATATGTCAAAAGTTTTGGTTCGCTGTGAACAATTGAAACCCACACTCGCCCTTATTTGGGGCTTCAGCCAGAAAGACGGTTTGGATTGAGTAGGATGCTAGCAGGTCAAAATACGCAAGCCGATTCACACAGTCTCAGATAATAAGTAATTTGGGGCCAGGGCACCTAAGAAAACGGGAAAGTGCGCATTTAATATTTTTCTCCTTACTATTTGCACAAAACTACAAAAACCTGTCGCTACTTTTTTTCTAGTATATTAGTTATGATGTGACATAGCGAAAACGTGTCGTTTTACCGGACAATGTCATTTTTTGGAACCAAACTAAATTGATCAACCTTTTTTTTTTTTTCCTTTTTTATGCACAGATGCTTCTATTGGGCTATCCACTGAAAACGCACAAAGGATACCATTTCTAAGTGTTTTGGTCGCACCTATCTGTAGACATGTATATTCTTGCATTTTCTATTGAACGTCGAGTTCAAGGGGTTATTTGTCTCGGGCAGGGAATCCCCTCTTGAAGGCTCCAAATGAATCTTTTTAAAGAGGCGGCAAAACCCAGAATTTGAAATGTGATATTTTTTTTTCAACTGCTAGTTCTAAATTTTGCATGCAACTGTTGGAAATGGTTACACAAATTGATCTTCAACAAAATTATGTAAAAATAAAACTATTTTCTGGCGAAAAAAAAAAGACTAAAGTCTGATTCGTGAAACACTTAAAGACGTTCATATCACAATCAACTCGTTTATTGACACACCAAATCTGAGCCTTTCACTATTGGATACAATCTGCAACCTGCTTTACAAATATATTCAAAATATTGATAAGGCTGTTTAGGGGTAACAATACATACTTAGTTTCACCTCAACTCCAGACACAGCTAACGCTGCGAGGTGATGGGAAAAATCCGAGTGTCAAGAACGCATCATCATGGCTTTGTTTATTTATATCAGTGGGACATATAAGAATTAACTCAAAAGTACAACATAGAAAGCATTGACTAAAATGCAAGCAAATCAACGAGTATCAACAAAAGTGATTAGTCAGTGCTACTTTAAACAAATCAAGTGATGGTTAGTTACTAGAGATTCTTGACTGTGGTTCCACTCAGAAGACGTTCTTGGTATGAAGGATTCCTTGTATGCTGATGTGTTACACTGAGCAATGCCGACCTTGAAACGGTGATCGATGTGTGAGTAAACGTTTGAGTGGTTCAAGAATAAATCCTTTCTAGAGAACGTTAGAGGGATAAATTTTGTAAAAAAGACAAATACGAGATATTTTTGTTGCAAAGAAAGTAGAGGCAAAGACAAGGAGGGTTAATGTTTACGTACGTGTCTATCCTTGTTGGACCAGTCATGTAAAGAGAAGTACAAGTGAATTTCACTTTTGACGCGGTATGATTTGCTCTGTTAGCTCGTAGCGACTGCTGCGTCAAGACTAAAGCTGAAAGAAAGTATAGTATCACATGATATTATACTCCCTCCAGAGCCGGATGAGATCTGTATGTGCGAGCTTCGCCAGGATTTTTTCTTCCATTCTTGTATTCATTTCGGGGCTAAAATGCTCCTTCCAGTCACCCACTATACCCTTCCTAATAAAGGAAGTACGTGCATCAGAGGCCGCACCTGGGAACAAGTTTTGAAAAACATCTTTCGCCGTTGTTTTCATGTAATCTATTCCGCTCCGTTCTATCACGTTTTTGAGCATATGACTGTCCTTCATAAGAATCTTGTAATGGTCCTTACTCAAGAACTCCGCGATCTTCAGAATAGAGTTCTTTGGCTCCGCTTTCATATCTTCATAGTTGATGAACATTACGTTTGGATCGTGACGGTGCTCGTACCAGGACAACACATGCTGAAAGTAGTCACCATATTCTGTGCCGCCATTCATGAATAACTCGAAGAAGTCCGCAAACTGACCTTCAAGAAACTCGTAGCAGTAGAAACGGCAAGTGTGGTAGTAGAAAGAAACGCAAACATCTTTTGGGTTCCTACAAACGTAGAGGTACTTTGTCTGGGGATTCTTGGGCACAAGGTTATAGGGAAAGTGGGTCTTGATGAACCTAGCCAGACCCTTATCGACTGATGCATTGACACCTATCACTTCCATGAAAGGGCTATAGTCATGGAAATCCTTCGCGCTGCTCGGTGAAGCTCCCTCGTGGAAGATGAGATATCCGATTTGTTGCGTCCAGGTAGTTCCAGACTTTGGAAAGGTGACTACGAATTTATCATCAGGTTTCGGTTGGTACTCAAGCGCTGCCCTGAACACGTGTATTGAGCTCATTGGGTTGACTCGATGGCCGTCAATTTCCAGGTATAAGGGGCCCTGGGGAATCCGGACCGGAACTGCCATTTCGCAGATGCAATATCCTCTAGCTTCACGTAGAAATTTTCTTGGCGGCGCTTTTTGTTTTCGTAGAACTCTGCAATACAAATATAGTCAAAATGTATTTCTAAATTGGAACCAGATATCTTAACGAATACGTGCTCTTGTTACCTCATTACTATATCTAATTAGTCATCACATAAAACGATATACCCAGCTGAAAAAATGCTTTTCCCACGCGGCAAACTATGAGAGGTGTCGTAAGTTGACAGCCTGACGTTCACACACTAAGACACCTACCTCTATAACCAAATGAATTGTACCGGACGCACAATTCCTATGAACAAGTTACAAGAAGCGAAATTGTCTAGGCGAGCTGGTTAGAAAAAGTAATCCAAACCCCGAGATATTTCAAAACTAACCACACTTTTCTGGAAACCAGCTGTGGCTAACAACTTGTATGCTTGTAAGACGCTTATATTACCAGGACCCAATGCAATGTGCATTTTAATTTATTGCCCACCTACGTAGTATGTACACTCATAAGTGGGCAGGTCTGAAAATGATTTTATCTCCCTGGCATATATGTCATCAAATACAAAACATTCCAAGGTCTTAAGCACTTTAAGAAACGTTAGGGCGTGGTTCAAGTGTTCATGCTTGCATTACAATTCGTTCTTCACTGTTTTCATTGACTGATGCAGTGATCTCATTGTGTGTGCAGCGATAATGCGAATCTAACAGTAACTTTAACGTTTTTATATATATATATATATATATAAAAAAATATGCCAATTACAGAAACAAATCAAAGCTCGCTAACGGCAAGTAGAAGGTATATCTTATTTTAGTTAAGAATATGTCGAGGCGTGAACGGTCTTTTTTCTGCCAGAGAGGGAGCAGATTATTCTTCTCGCTTGAATTATTGCACAGTACATTATTTAGACGTTCTCGGTAAAGGATTTATTATGCTCAATAAACTTGAAACCTCCTTGTGCCTTTCAATGTTTTATTAAAGGTTCTTACCTTCAGCGAATGAGGGTTTGTGGGAAAGTAATATAGGTGTGCGTACGTTATGTGCCAAGCTCTGGGAGGTGCTGGTCTTAATTGGGAGTGGAAGAAGAGTGCGTAGAATACAAATCAGGGTCATGTGAATGTTTGAAACATAGTCCAAAAGACTCAGGCAGGGCCAGCCACTCATATCACGACGAAATTACAAAGAAAAAAAAAAAGTCTCATGCTATGTCATTGTTGAAGTTATGCTTTAGTTTAATACTACGTTTGACTTGAATGGCATTTTGTTTTTCAAGTACCTGTAGGTTTAAACGTTATTGCAAAGGTACTGACCGTCATGTGAAAAGTAATAAAACATACAAACTGTGGTTCTGTGCCCTATTTGATTAGTTGTGTAGACAATTAAATACAAACAGCTGAATAAACAACGACAAGAAACACGAGCGTACTTTATAACACACATCTTTTTTATAGCTCTCTACTCGTTTTGTTCCTTCCGTTTGGGTGTTAAGCGGCTTGCAAACTAAACGAAGGATTGAAGATAGAATAAAAATGTTATAAAAGGACTTCGCAACCACAACATAAGATATCTGGTTGTGTCGTCATTGTATTACATGTTAATTATTTCTGCAATCGTGACCTGCGCCAACACGCTCTTCATTGATCAATAACAAAATTAACTAAATCAACTGGTTCTGTTGGATGTCACTTCGGGAGTTCCTTGCCACCCGCGTATTTGCACCAAGATTTGTTTGAGCTCCGTCCGTTTCGCTAAGCCCACGAAAACGGTTGCTATCCGACAGAAATTACGTACAATTAAATTTGCGCCGAAATAAGGAAAACTCCAACCCAAACTGCCGACCATCTACATTTTAAAATTTACCTTGTTATTGAATGACGCACATGTTATCGGACGCGTGTGGTGCGTACACGGCGCAGCTATCTACCTCTGCATTTGCGCACACGCCCTCATTTCTACTACATCGTAGAATGTAGTCGCGGACGGTACGAAAACATCCAGACGACGCTTGCCTTAGAAGGTCTGCGGCGCTATCTGTCAGAAGAAATTTCAACCATTATTGAGGCTTCAGCGGCGGTTCAGTTTTTCGCCACTCTCCGGATGACCGGCTGTTACTGGTGCTATTTTGTTTTCGTCCATTGTAGAGGCGTTCCGAGGTGGAAACAAAACGTGGCTGGAGCCACCGGGTGGGAAAGTTGAGTGGCCAGTTTTCCACCGTTTGATAACAAGTTCGCGGAAAAAAGACGAAAAGCGTTTTTTTATTATTATTACACCCAGCACAAAAAAGTTATCTAAAAACTGCACCAAAATCCGTGTTGATTCAATACTTTAATATTATGTTAATATATTATAATATTATATTATTCATTATAATTAATTATAATATATGCTCAACTACAGCTTGTTACTGAGATTTAATAGCTGTTTGGCTGATGAGTTGGGAGTAACGACAAAAAATCGAAGAGCCTCTGAAATGCCACCCGTACACACAGTAGCCTCAATGATAGCTTAGCGTTCTTCCGTTAGAAAGGGCAGGAGGAATTCGAAGCCACACGCTCGCGTTGCATCTGAATATCACCTGCGACTCTACGACCGGTTATTTATGACAGCATAGAGACGCATACTCTACCTGTCGGTATAAATATGACGTCAAAGAAGTAGTCCATAAAACGTTTCGTCGGAGTTGCCAATGCAGGGACCTGATAAAAAAACGAATACTCGGCACGCTTTTTTTTTTTTTTTTTGCAGCTGCTTGTTACATTTTAACGAGCTGAACGATGAAAAGTTCCGAAAGTTGTACACTTACCTGACGAATATTAGGCTAACTTCGGGCTCCGGTATCAGACTGGCTCTGGTACGGTCAGGTCCTTTTGTAATGGTATTTTAGGAAGTCGTTCAGGTTATTTCACTTCCTCGGCGATCCGTCAGTCTGGATTAAGTGTTCCCCGTGAAGTCAGCGTTTATACTTGCTGCGGGAAAAATGCAACAGGCAGTAGAATCAGTTTGTGGAGAGTCTAAATCGCAGGTCCCTTCCCTACGGCGTACTATCGGTGAGGAACGGCTGCGTAAATGGCGTATTGTTCGTCAACACAGGTGTACCGTATGCTTTCTGACTTCTCGGGAACAAGTGTTCATGTGCTTTCTCTTTATTCTATGGCGAGTGTGGTGGTACGAACAACATCATTAAAAGCCCTTATCCAGGCACAATCGTCACAAAATGGCAGCCCGGTAGCAAACATAAATTGTTTGGACCAACTCTAGCAGAAGCAACGACCTGAAAGTCAAGCTTATATATTTGTCTCGCTAATATTTCCGTGGACACATAGTTTGACTTGGCAAGTTATGTCGTGTAGGTGGGCGACACGAGTTTAGTTTTTTTTCCATCTTTCACTTTAATAAAACTAATATTGAGTTTTGATTGAGACGCGATTAAGGACAATAAAGAAAAAAATTAACAACAATAAAGAAACTTTCATAACCTAAACAAATACTTGATTGAGTCTCGCAATCAGATCATGGCCTTTTCGGTGTTCTTCAGTAATATTTCGTAAATTTTTAACTTGACGCGTCACTACACTCGCTTACTTATTGTTCTGAAAATTATCTATGGGTATTGGGCCCACCAGGTTCGTACTCACGACTGCGACTTGGAACTTCCCCTTGAATTTTTCCTGCTCCCTGAGGTCGTCGACGAAAAAGCAGAAAATGAGGATGACGTCGATACGGATACATTCAAGTTAGAGATCTGTTTTTCTCTTCTTTTTTTTTCATTCGGGGATGCTCATTGCTGCTTCCGTTTTTCAAGCCTTGTGGTTTATATTGACGTTTCATCTTACGCCTGGCATCCCCGTCGCATCCATCCTGCGCCCTGCATGAAGGGTGAGAAACATGCAACAGAAAACTCAGTTGCGAGTGCGCCTTGTGTTGTAGTATTCTTTACTCTGTCACAGTCTTTGACGCTCCTCTTTCCGTATAAAACATCTGACAGGTCGTTCAACCTGTCGGAATGATGTCGCGAGCCGCCTACACGCCGACCAGCCATAGATTTAGGTCACGCTTGGTGTGTGTCACGATTGGACGCCATTTCTTCGGATTAGGCTCTCGTCTGGAGGAGTCATACGACCCGTCTGATTACGTGTGCCTGTATATGTTAATTTACGGTAGCCGTTAAAGGGGCACCGAAGAACATTTGTATTTTACTGTTGGGTATGGGTATTTTGGTGTTGCATCTTTTCGAAGCTGTTTCGACTCACATTAACATGGACTAATCACAAACTTCAAGGGCGAAAGGGTAGCGATCAAGGCCAGTTCACATACTTGCAACTGCTTACGACCAACGGGGGGCCAGTCGTGGACAGTCTTAAGTCTATGAACCAAACTTTACTGGTGATCCCATTGAACAAGCGTTCATACAGATGTCAGCTGCGATCAAACGCACCGAACTTGAGCGTGTTTAACGATACTGCAAATTGATGTTAAGTGGACATAAAACATCAATGGACTTCACGCCACAAGGAAAAACATATATACACAAAAAAACAAATGAAACCTGACCAATAAGAATCATACAGGTGATGACTGTTCCAAAAAATTGAGCATTGAAACAGTCTAAGGATGCAGTCATCTAATCTCGTATGCGTCATTATGCAGTTTCGGGCTGACCCGCGTAAATCGCTCGTCTAGCCTTCGTCACCCATCGAATCAATCATCTCTGCTTCAACAGTTACTTGCTCAAGAGTTTCTAGTTGGCCAGGTCATGAACATTGTCACTGCCTGTCTGTGAGACTAAACAAGCTTGGATAGCCCTCTGTTCGTCTATACTTCGTTTCAGCTGAAGGGCGGACAGAGCCGAGGCTACGGGGAAATGGGATCAATCAGGCAGCGTCATAAATGCAAGCCAATAGCAATTTTCCGTTGATGATTGATTCACAGATGATAGAACACGATCATAAACATGGCGAACACCTTATGGCGAAACAGGAATTTCTGTGCAGGCAAGCTGGTGAGCGATCATGTTGGCAAGTAGCTTGAAACTAGGCGCAAACATTGGACTACAGAGCACCTTCTCAAAGCTAAGCTGCCAACTTTATTTTCACGAGTCTCCTTTATAGAGATCACAACTCCCCAAACAACTCTAACGCGAACAACCGTCAACCCCACACAGTCACCCAAGGCACTGTCAGTCAGCTGAATATTGTGCACCTGACTGTGTGTGGGGTCGGCGGTTTTTGGCGTTAGCCTTGCTTGAGGAGTTGTGGCTTACACAAAGACGGCTTGCGAAAATAGGATTTGCAGCTGAGTTTTCATACGGTGCTGTGTTGTCCATTGCTAATTAATAGAGGGTGCAAACCCCTGTATAATGGCGGAACAACTGATGTCGTAAAACGCGCATGTCATTCCATAAGATTGCGAACATCGGATCGCTGCCAACACTAGGAGCCAACGTTACTAGAACACTCAGTTGGGAAACTCACAGTCGAAACTTGGGCCGATGGCGTCCACCGAGACCGAGCTAAATACGACAACAGCGCCACTCTTTATCATTTGTCTGTACTGTGGTCACCTTGAGCTTTTAGAAAGCATGTTTTTTGCGTAAAAAACAAACGGGAAAGACTCTTTTTGTATGAAATTTATTGGAGTTTAGTACCAAATGATGGGCGCGTGATGTTTTTAAAATCTTTAGGTTGCAGGGTTTTGTGGAACAATTAACATTATTTTTATACTACCATGCCTCACCGGTGCTTTCAGGTAGCGCGTCCCGACCTAGGTGCATTTTAACTTCGGTAGTAAGTCGCGGCGCGTCCGCTGGGGAGACGGGTGTGGCACCCCTGTAACATCTTCCGCTGTATCTGTTTCGGCTCCACAATGGCCGAGTAAAGCCAGAATAGAAGAAAAACGTACAGTTCCTCGAGTGGCCGCTGCGGGAAAAATGGCGGCGTTTTATTGGTCATTAGCTCGGTTCTCGAGGACAAATCGGGGCCACTTTTTCAGATTAGTCTGTATGGCAGTTTCCCAACTGAGTGTTTTAGTAACGTTGCTAGGAGCCGATGAGTCAATCAAACAGCGTCGGAAGTGCAACGTCACTGCGCTCACCACCTTTTTCTGTTTGTGTATTTTCGCCTTCTAATAAAACCAAACGTATAAAGTGTTCCGTGACGTGGCAGATCTAGCCCGCAATTGTGCAGGGATTCCACAGCTGCCAACGAGGTATTGTAAACGCTACCTCTATTTCACCGTCATTCGCAACAAAAATAGAAGTACCATCGTTATTTTTATTTTTTTAGTGTTATTTGAGTTACAGAGTATTCAGGAGCGCTTAAATCAGTGTTGTTATTTTCTGGGGATACTGAACGGCCCTATGACTGAAGCCTATGCCTTGCTATTTTCGGAAATCTTCGAACTGTTGCTAAAGCTAAATAAAAGTTATTATCTTTTTATTAAACTGCCCCGCGGCAGTTTGATTTTGAAAACCGTGAAGTAAATAAGAAAACAAAATAACACTCAATGGAAGCGAAAATGCACGACATACAAAATAGGCTGGTCCTTGTCGAAATTAATTGGTTTTTTTTACTTAAGATGATCAACCACGGTTTCCGCGCGTTGCACAGCCTCAAGGATACCCTTCTGTATAGTTTAAATGATTGACTTAACGAGCTTGAGGATCGTTCACATCGCGATAACTTTCTTGTTTATGGTCTTCCCGAAGTGGCGTCGAAAATGTGCCAGAAAGTGAAACGAAAATTCTCGATCTGGTGTCCGCTTTGTTCAACTTCAGGTTCCACCTGATTGTAACGAAAACGTGCTTATCGAATTTGTACTTTCAAAGCCAATAAATTTCAAACCGTAGTTATTCCAATTTCTTCGTCAAAGTTCAAGGACAGAGTGCTAGATTCGCTAGTCAAACCGAAAGGAAGCACTACTTACACCAATGGAGATTTATCTTCGGCAACGCGGCTAGCCAGGAAGGCAGTTTTTGAATTTGGGAAAACAGAATTCCGTATATCAGTTGCAGCATAACAAACTTTTCGTTAACTAAAACTGACACATGTTACAACGTGACTTGTGATACCGTTTTCAAGCTTGGTACGGGCTCAGATTCGTGCGCACTAGATAAGGAATTGACAGTTTATTCTAAGGAATCACTACAAACATCATCCTAACATGTCACGAGGGGTGAGGGTTTTTCAAATTTATGTTGAAATCTTGTCAAGTACTTTTTTTTTTTTTTTTTATTAATAAAGGAAGTGTTCCGCGGTCACGGGACGACTTGTTTTCAGCCGTTGACTCGCGAGGCGCTGATGTGGTGTCGACGTAGACTTGGCTAACCTCTCGTATTGATTGACCTAGATTGTTTTTCTCTCAAAAGTGTTATGAAGTCTATAACTGTGATAAAAGTGATAGGACTGGTACTTTTGTACTAATCGAAAATGCAGATCATATTAAATCACTTTTTGATGCGTCTCAGTAGCGATCTAGGGAGGACCTGGGTTTGATTACAGATCAATCACAAAACAATTACATTGTGTGTCGGTTATCGTGCACCATCCAGTAATTCTTTTTTTGTTGTTGTGAATCTTCACGTCGCGATAAACTTAATATCAGTGCGTTTTTATTTCTGTCCAATGATTTTCATTGGCGACTCTAATTACGTAATATACAAGGTGTCGCAAAAAAAAACACTAAAATGGATCGCAAATTTCAAGATCTTGACGGATCTTGTAGCAACCCTTCTCGAAAATATATTTAACTGGTCATATTGTTAAACTAAAATGCCCAGTCGGAACTCCGAGTACAAAGGAAATAAGAAAATAACTGATCTTTTTTTTCAATGGCGGAGCGGCAGCTGTCGGAGAGATATCGAACGACGACTATGTTTCTTTACCTTAGTATTCAGAGATGGCGCTACGGATTCACTAGATTCTGACTGAAGGTGTTGAGCGAAAAAGCGCTCTTTTATCCGAGTTTTTGATTCCCTGGGATATTTGCCAAAACAAAGATGTTTGGATTTTTAGTTAAGTTTCCCAGCGTTGAAAGTGTCACGCCATAAATATGAATAAATAAAACCGCCAAACACTGCTCCAGAAATGGTGTACCTTCGTCTGTGACGGTTCTTGTTTCGTGCATCGTCTGCTTTCGCAGTTTGACGTTTGAATGAGACACGAGAAGACCCCATAGCCACCTCGGTGGCTCCGAGGCGAGAGCGTCGGCCTACGGATATCCATGTGGCGGGTTCGAATCCCGGCCGAGGTGCCCGCAATATGACGGAGGCTTATTGCGGATAAGACGCCGTGTAACCGAGCTTTCGGTTGCACGTCAAAAGATCCCCAGGTGGTCGAAATTAATCCTCAGTCCTCCGCTGGGGCGTGCCAGATGCCCGCCGTTGGTTTGGCACGTAAAACCCCCAAATTTGACGAGAAGACCCCATGAGTGCGCCCGAAAAAGCAGCGATTTGGTGTCTGAAAAGAGCCGTTGAAATCTGAACTGCGGTCTTCGCAGTTGCGGTCAGATGCCTCATCGACACACACACACACACGCACACGCACACGCACACGCACACGCACACACACACGCACACACACGCACAAACACACACACACGCAAGAAGAAAAAAACAGACAGACTCCCAGCTGGACTTGCCCGCTGCGAACTTCGATGCATTTTTCCAGCTACCTGTCGTGTCCTGGAAGACGGCCTCCCGCATTTCACCACTGGGGGTCTCGAACGCGTCGTTGATGTGTTCTTTCAGCTTCACAATAGTTATCGATCGCCGGCGTACACTTGGGGATTCACGTACCCCCAGACAAAAATCACAAGGGGTGAGGTGTGGAGATCGAGGAGGCCAAGGCATGTTAGGAGAGCCGCGCCCCATCCATGTCCCGGGAAACTTGTTGTTAAGCCCGGCTCTCACGTGGGTGGCTGAGCGGGGAGGGGCCCCATTCTGTTGAAATATGCAAAGTTCACGTTGCACTTGTGCAGATTCCAGCTCTGGTATAATCTTTTCCTCCAACATCTTGAGGCACGTGTCGCTGGTTACCGTCGAGCCAAAAAAGAAAGGCCCATGACAGCCTCTCGCGATATTTATTATGTTTTATTTGACAATACTATTAGTCCTCACAACGGGGACCATAATAGAGGGGAGCAACAAAAGTGAACATAAAATTGCCACGCAGAGCATGGTGTACAACATAACATTACCAGCGTAGTTTATGGTTATATTATCAGACACTTTGGAAACACGTACAATCACAAAAAAAAGAAATACACAAAGCAGTGCAAGCAACAAATTCAAATGCATAAATTTTACTATAACTTTTGCAGACCTCTCATAAATTCAGAAACGGTGTTGGCTGCAATAGTGCTTTCTGGTAGCGCATTTCACTCCTTTATCGTTCAGGGGAAATATGAATTTTTAAAGCAATTTTGGCGTAACGATATTCTTCAAGTGTTCTAGTGTGTTTGTTTCGCATAATTCTAGAGGTATGGTGTCTCATCAATCTTTCTTTGCCTGGCAGAAGAGCCCCGTTTAAAATCAGGTCAAGCATTTTCAAGCGTTTATTCCTCCGCCTCTCTTCTAACTCATTGATTCCTGCCCTGGAATACAGTTCCGTTGGTGAATCTAGCCTCCTATACTTCGAGAAAATAAAGTGCAATGCCAATTTCTGAATCCTCTCTCATTTTACTACAACTTCTTTGTGTACGGGTCCCAGACTTCACTGGCACATTCTATACTTGGTCTTATCATCATCTTAAGAGCTAACGGTTTAGATTCTGGAGTGGCCATCTTTAACGACCTTCTTAATGATCAAACTTTACCTGTAGCTTTCTTAATTATATTATTAATGTGATCGTCCCATCGAAAATCGCTGGCTATTATTACCCCTAAGTATTTAAATTCGTTAACTCTAGGCAAAGTCTTTTCGTTTAGGTGGTAGTTATGCACCACGGGAGTTTTTTTATGTGTCATTGACATGCAAAAGGACTTTTCCAGGCATAAAGACATCTGCCAGCTTTCACACCACTTGCTAATTTTTTTGTAAACAACCGTTCAACACAATGGAATCACTGTCATCTTTTATATAATTATATAAAATGCAATCATCAGCGAAGAGCCTTGCTTTTACAGTAATGTCACGAAGGACGTCATTTATAAAAATTAAAAGTAACAAGGGTCTGAGTACAGATCTCTGTGGGACTCCCGAGTAAACTTCTCGTAGCATCGAATCATGCCCATCAATACTAAAAAACTGCTTTCTAAAGTCAAGAACGCTTCAATCCACCGCAACAGTTTGGGATTCTTTAGCAAAGCCTCTAGCTTAACGAGCAGCTTATTATGGTTCACCTTGTCGAAGGCCTTCTGAAAGTCGAAACATATTATGTCGACCTGGTCTCTATTGTCAAGAGTTGAAGTAAAATCATGAATTAGTTCCGTTAATTGCGTAGTGGTAGATGAATCTTTTCGAAACCCGTGTTGCTTGCTATCCAGTACTTGATGAGCACCTAAAAACGTTCTTATGTGCTTTGAAATGACGTGTCCTAGCAATTTACAACAACTAGATGTTAACGAAATGGGTCTATAGTTTGTAACTGAGCTTGGCATTACCTCTTATATGTACACGTTTTATATTGGCGATTTTGCAGTCATCTGGAAGAATTCCATCTGACAACAATCTCTTGAAGATGAGGCTAAGAGACTTCGAACACCATTCACTGTAACGATATAAGAATTTATTATTAATATTATCAGGACCAGCAGCTTTCTTTAAATCGATACAAAGTAGCAAAGAAACAATACCTTCTTCTGATATTTCTACGTCATTCCTTGGGAGAGCATTTTCAAATAAAGAAAACACTGGTAGGACATGATTACCAGTAAAAAAAAACGCTGACGAATTATTCATCAAAAACAATTTGCGATTTGTTTCTTGTTTTCAATAACCCTATTTCCTACTATCACTTTAGTAACTCCTTTTTTACTTGATGTTAGTTGTCGCAACAAACTTCTTGGTGAATATTTTATGAAGTTTTGCATTTTAGCATTTAAGAAGGAAAATTTCTATGCCTTTATTTTCGCTTCAAGTTTCGTACTTAGCGTCAGTATTTCGGGCTGCAGCAACCCATCCCTTTTACCACGCGCTTTTATTCTACGCCTTGTTAAGCGTCTTTTGTGATGGATTATATCCCTTGTAATCCCAGGACTATTTGGATTCCGCTTCTTTACGCGCATTGAACGAACTAATGAATGCATTCTAGTAGTCCTTTTAACATCAAGCCATAGCTCGTTCACTCCAATCAGGGGGTTTCTAGCAAGGTCCTCAAATGCATCGCAGTTAAAGCCTAGTTGATCAATAAGTGATTCGTCATCAGCTACCTTAAAGCCGCGATATAAAGATATTTCCGTTTTCTTAAGTGTAGCTTCCAACGATAGTTCGAAGTGTACCATTCTGTGATCAGAAATTCCCGGGTAAATCTTGCAATCGTATGTGTGACGTGAGAGGGTCTCACTAACAAACATTAAATCTATTAGGGATCGGGATTCCCCCTGTACCCTAGTATGCTCTTTGACAACCTGTGTCAAGTTGAGCCCGAAGGCCCAAATCCAGAAATTCTTCGGAACACGACACCTCACTGTCCCCAGTTCCTAATGTAGCCCAGTCTATCCCACCGAGGTTGAAATCTCCCATCAAAATAGCTTTCTTTGAACTTATTTTAACTTAAAAAGAAACTCATTTAACACCTTAAAATATCCAATAGGCACTTGTGGAAGGCGATACACTAGACCTGCTATTTATTCATTGTTTTTCAACTTGATCCATTGTCAATACCTGGAGCACCTTCCATTTCAAAAGTGATCAGGGACGATTGAACTATTAGGGCCACACCTCCTCCTCTACTTCCTCTGCCCTTTCAAAAAATATTATAACCAGGGGGAACTATCACATTTCTAACACTGGTGAATTAAGCCAGGTCTCAGTAATAGCCACTATACTGGAGTAATGATCCATTAAGATGTGTTCGAGCTGACGCGTTTTATTGACAATACTTCGAGCATTAAGGTTGATCAGTAGAAGGCTTTTTGTTTCCTGTGAATTAGGTTCACATCATTGTTGAGGATGCGGTACATTAGGCGGTACATTGGCTGCAAAACGTTGAACTCTCTGGTCCTATCCGTACGTTACTCCATTGATTTTTAGCTTGTCGTACGATAAAAACATATTGTCTCCATTTCGTTTATTTGCAGCTGCATTCTCCCATAGCTTCCCTCCTGATAACTCTTACATTTTTTTAAAAGTCCTCATTAATAGAAATACGAGCCCCTTTAGGCTTATTGGCATTTCTGAGTACGTTTTGTTTTTCGTTATTCCTTTCAAAGCTTAATATGACTGGCCTCGGCTTTCTGCTAGCTAGCCTTCCAAGACGGTCAATCCTTTCGACAGACGTCACTTCCACACTCATTTTTATTTTGAAAACATCTTCAACTACTTTTTTTTCTCAAGTACAACTCCGTTTCCTTCTCGGATTCTGCCACTCCATGGATTACCGAATTGTTTCTTCTACTTCTGTTTTCTAAGTCATCCATTTTTTCTTGTAGCTTTAATACTGTCGCTTCCAAATTTGCCACCTTTTTTGCGTGACATCAAGCGTCGTGACGATATCAGTTATCTTTGAAGTGGACGCTTCAGTCGCTTCTAATCCTTTATCTAAACTTCTTTGACTTGCAACTATGGATGATAAATTAACTGTCATCTCTTTCTGGCATTCCAGTATCTGCTGCATTGTATCTGCGTCTCGGTCAGGATTTAGTTCGACGTCCCCGCACCTTATCAGCGCAAATGCCCCCAAAGAATAATCAGCAATGGCAGCGAAAAACAATTTCACACGGCTTGGGCAAGGCAACAGCAGTAGACAACGACCGTCTGAGCGATACGAGCAGTCACAAAAATAAAATGCGCACCACACGACGACATTTGGCAACTGAATAGCATGCTCAGTCGACCAGCGCGGGTTCGTGCCAGACCACAACCTGCAGTTCTGCTTGCTGATGCGGCCGTCGAGATGGAAAACAGACTCGTCCGTAAACAAGAGAAACTGCAGGTGGCTGGGGTTGGCCTGAATCCGCGCCAGCTCGTCCTCACAAAACTGCACTCACCGTGCGTAGTCCTTTCGTTACAGTTCGTGTAGGAGCTGCGCTTTAAACGGGTACATTCGCCGGCGAAGTACCCGCCACACGAAGTCCCGGCTAAGGCTGAGATGACGAGCAGCACGCCCGTCGAGATGTGGGGCTCCGTTTCGAATTCGAAAGCGGCGTCAAAAACGGCTTGCTGCTCTTTTCGTTTCGGCGACGTTTCTACACGGTTCGGAGATTTGTTTGTCACGTTCCCGTCTTGAGCAAACCTTGTCGCCCAATTGATGATAGTGGACCGAGAGGGTAGTTTTCTTCCTTCATCCTGAAAGTAAAGGAAGCTTTTCTTTACTTTCAACGTAATCTTTTTTTTTTCATGTTTTACAGGATCGTGAACATTCTGGGTGCAGATCATTACAGTTGACACAGTGGATTTCATTAAAGCAAGAGTATGCTGGATTGTCACTCTTGCCACACTTGGCACACGTGGCTTTGCCACGGAATTTCTGTGAGCCATGTCCAAACCTATGGCTGTCGAAGTACCTTCGAGGGTTAGGTATGTAAAGCCGCACCCTGCAGTGCGGGTACCCAGTCTTTACTCCCACGGAAAGTTTGATGGATTGAAAGTTAACAGTGCAAGCTTAGTTGTGCGCTCCTGGCCGTTACGTCGTCACGACTCAAGGAGATGCGCATTGCGGCTACGACCCCTTGCGCACAAAGACTTTCAACTATTGCGTTATCTGTGGAGTCGAAACGCTCATCCTCGGGAATAAATCTGTGGACTATGTTTAGGGAGCGGTGAGGTGCGATCGTGACTTCATAATTGGCTAGATAATCCAAGGCAAGGAGAGCAGCACCCTGCTCGCTTGATTGATTGATTGATTGATTGGGGGTTTATGGCGCATCAGCAACTACGGCTATATTGCGCCAAGCTCAGACTATTGCAATTCGGGTTTAAGAAGAGGAAAGAGCTATAGTAGCGAAATATATGATAAAACCATGAACATGAATGTGTATAAGTGTAAACAATATGACAATGAATTTAGGAGTAAAATCACAGTCGGTGTAGAAGGCCGATATCTGTGAGGAAATTAAAAACACAACTGTATGGAATGAGCGGTTCGTCACCTAGTAGTAGGGCGAGGTGTAGTGGAATGTGTTCTTTATAAAGCAGTGAGAAGTGTTTATACCGGCATTGGTCATACTTAGAGCATTTAATGAGTATGTGCATAATACTTAGAGGTAGGTTACAGTGCACACATTCAGGGGCATCCTCCCCGCTCAAGAGGTGTCCATGTGTGAGACGAGAATGACCGATTCGTAACCTACAGAGTATGACTTCATAAAAGCGCTCCCGATGTCGGGCACTCTCCCACTCGCCTAGAAAAGGTTTGATTGCGTGTAGTTTGTTGCTGGTTTCGCTGTTCCACTGCAGCTGCCACTTTTCTTTGATGCAACGTTTCAGAGAGCTGTGGTAATCTTTGTAGGGTATTTGGTGCGTGTCTATTTCTCGATCATTAGCAGAGCTAGCTGCACAATCAGCTGCTTCATTTCCAGGATTGCCAACATGGCTAGGAACCCAGCATAAAACTATGTCAAGATTTTTCTTAGCAGCCAGGATAATCTTGTGCTTTAACTCAGAAACCAGTGGGTTTTTTACACGGTTCATTGATGCGACAGCCTTCAGAGAGCTTAAAGAGTCTGTGTAGATTACAGCGTGAGAAAGTCGTTTTTTCATTATGTAATCAACAGCCAGCAGCAAACCATAAAGCTCTGCTGTTAGTATAGAGGCTTTTGGATTTATTCTCTTCAACTTATTTATTGATGGTCCCACCATAGCACAGCCTACTACCGAGTCTTTTTTTGTCCCGTCTGTATAAAAACTGGCATACTCGTGATATTTGGTCTGAAGCTCAAAGAAGTCCTGCCTTATGACTTCCTGTGGAACATTATTTTTGTTATACTTGGTCAGTGTAAGGTCGCAATGTATGTGGCAGTTGTTCCATGGAGCTATATCTGGTGGGTACTGGACTAGCTGAGCCCTTGCATCAATCCCAACAGATTGTGCTGCAGTGTTATTCCTCATAGAGAGAGGCGGAACTATGGAAGGTTTGTTTTCAAATGTACGTTGGAACTTGATAGTCTCAATATTATCTCGAACGGGGTGCTCCGCGACAGAGCGCACCCTGACAGAGTACATAAAACCCAGGGAAAACCTCCTATACTCAAGGGACAGTTCGTTTGCTTCCGCGTAAAGGCTAAGCACTGGCGAGGTACGAAATGCTCCTGTAGCCAAACGCAGTCCCTGATGATGAATAGGATCTAACATCTTTAGAACTGATGCCCGAGCAGAGTTATAGACAATACAACCATAATCAAGCTGAGAGCGAATGACTGAGCGATAGATATGCAACAGACATAGTCGGTCGGAGCCCCATGATACATGTGACAAGACCTTAAGGATGTTCAGAGATTTAAGACACTTGAGTTTTAAGCTCTTAATGTGTGAAACGAAAGTCAACTTGGAATCAAACACAAGGCCCAAAAACTTGTGTTCATTTTTTACAACAATAGGAGAGCCATACATGTTCAAAGACGGTTCCTGAAGAGCACCACGTCGACGAGAAAAGCTGACACAAGCTGTTTTTTCGGGAGAAAATTTAAAACCATTTGTATCGGCCCATCTGACCAAATTATTGACCGCAAGTTGGACGCGACGTTCACAAATTGAGGAATTACAGGATGAAACGGAGATCTGAAGATCATCAACATATAAAGAATACTGTACCGAAGGAGGAATTGCACGGCCAATGGAATTAAGTTTGACGATAAAAAGAGTGACACTCAGCACGCCCCCCTGAGGGACTCCATTTTCCTGTAAAAACTCCTTAGAGAGAGTTTTTCCCAGCCTCACGCGGAATGTACGTTGCTGCAGGTAACTCGGTATAACACTCAACATTCGGCCACGGAAACCAAGATCGAACAAATCCTGCAGTATGCCGTAACGCCAGACCGTGTCGTATGCCTTCTCCAAATCAAAGAAGACGGAGAGACACTGTTGCCTGTTGACAAACGCCTCACGTACGAAGGTCTCAAAGCGGACGAGATGATCGACAGTGGACCGTGCTGAACGAAAGCCACACTGGAACTTACCAAGGCAGTTGTTTCGTTCTAGGAAAAACATCAGTCTCTTGTTAATCATCCTTTCTAGTGTCTTGGAAATACAGCTAGTTAGAGCTATTGGTCTGAAGCTAGATGCACAAGAGGGATCTTTTCCGGGCTTCAGCACTGGTACAACGATAGCAATCTTCCAAGAGGATGGAAAGTGGCCCTCGAGCCAAACTCTATTAAAAAGGTACAAAATTAGCTCCATAGTGGATGGATGAAGATGTTCCAGCATTTTATAATGAATACCATCTGGTCCAGGGGCAGTTTGTTTGGGATAAAGAAGTGCCATTTGAAGTTCATATAATGTAAATAGAGTATTATAGGGTTCGTGCGTGCCACCTGATGTGTTAACAGCTTTTTTTTCTGCATTTATCTTGTGTCGCTGAAACGTCTGAGTATAACGTTGGGAACTGGAGACATACTCGAAATGCTCGCCAAGGATGTTGGCCTGTTCCTCAAGACATGCAGGACACACTCCATTTCGACTCAGGAGTGGGACAGTGAATGCCCGGTAAGAGCCGTCAATTTTATGTACGCGATCCCAGACTTCCTTCGCAGGTATAGTGCTGTTAATTGAGGAAGCGTACCCTCTAAAACTTTTTTTCTTTGCTTGTCTTCGAATCCACCTCGCCTGGGCCCTTTTTCTTTTAAATTCAATTAGATTGTTTGCTGTTGGGTAGCGCCTAAAAATACCCCAAGCTCGATTTTGTTCTTTTTTGGCCAAACGGCAATCTTTGTTCCACCAGGGCTTAGGTCTTTTGGGTAGATGCGAGGACGTCATGGGGATGGAAAGAATGGCAGCCTGTAAAATGTGGTGAGTGATATGTTCAGTGGCTCTATCGATATCGAGATCGTCAAGTGATGTGTATGCCAAAAGAGACGATTCTTTGAAAGTTGACCAGACGGCGTTTTCAAATTTCCATCGAGGAGAGCGCGTAGGGACTGTCATGGGAAGATGGTTAAATTCTAAAATGATGGGAAAGTGGTCACTTCCGTGAGGATTCGGGAGGACCTTCCATGAAAACAAGGGGAATAATGATGGGTGACAAATAGATAGGTCAATGGAAGTGAAAGTGTGAGTTGTTGAACTAAAATATGGGGCTTCATTTGTGTTAACTAGGCAGAATCCCGAGGAAAGAAGAAAGCGTTCAATGAGAGCCCCTCTGGAATCTCGTCTGCCACTCCCCCACAAAGGATTGTGTGCATTAAAATCTCCCAAAAGCAGAAAAGGTGGTGGGAGCTGGCTAACAAGGTATTCAAGCTCTTCAATCTTTAGCTGATAACTGGGGGGTATATATAAGGAACCTACTGTAATTAAACGATCTAACAAAATGCGGGCTGCCACAGCCTCCAGCGAAGTCTGCAGAGTCACTTCGCTACATGGGGTTGAGCGTTGCACTACAACTGCAACGCCTCCAGATGAATGAACGGCTTGTAACCGGTCCTTGCGAAACACCTGGAAGTACTTTAATATATTAGTCTGGCTCGCTTTTAAATGTGTTTCCTGCAAGCAAAATGCAATGGGGCCGTGATCGTCAAGTAGCTGGCTCACATCATCATAGTTAGGAAGGAGGCCTCTACAGTTCCACTGAAGAAAAACGGACATTGATATTTTAAAAGGAAGTCAGAATATATATACATATATATATATTTATATGTACCAGAGAAAGCTAGAACATAAATTTACGGGGCTTTTGGTGCCTCAACACGTGGGATTGTTTTTTTCTTAGAAGTGTCCTTTGGTCGTCCTACAACCTCAGAGGAGACCAGAGGAGGAGACTCTGTTTCAGGGAGAGACTGGTCGTCTTCAGAGAGCGGTAGGCTCTCGTCCATTTTTTCATCCGGCGAGAGCGTTGGGCCCTTGGGCGGAGGAGGAGGTTGTTCTGTCCGCCTGGGCTTCAGGTGGCTGCAGGAAGCACGAGGAGAGAGCCCTCGACCCCTGCCAGAAGGGCCAGCTAGGGCCGCTGATGGCACCTCTGGTACCTTGGAGGGAGTGGTACCCTCCTTGGAGGGTACAGCACCCTTAGAACATGAAGGTGACTGAGTGTGCGTCACCTTCAGAGGTTCGGAAGGGGACCCCTGTGGAGAGGACAGGTCTTCCGAAGAAGTCTGTGTCTCCACAGATGCCGTAGACAGTGGGGGTCCCCTCAACACTGCCTGGGCATAAGAACCCCTTGCCTGAAAGGCAAGCTGTTCTTTGGCTGCTTGATAGCTAAGGTTATGTTTTACTTTAAAAGTCAGGACATCTTTTTCCTCTTTCCATTTTGGACAGGAGCGAGAAAAAGCAGGGTGAGCTCCGCTACAGTTCACACATTTGACTTCATTTTCGCAGATGTCTGCTACATGGTCAGTACCGCCGCACTTTCCACAGGTTTCTCGGCCGCGGCACTTTCGGGAACCATGCCCGAAACGTTGGCAGCGGAAACACCGCTGAGGATTTGGGATGAAAGGGCGGACTCTACAGTTCAAGTACCCTGCCTTCACGGTGGATGGAAGAGTATGGAGCTCAAATGTGAGTATCAGATGGCGGGTGGGTTTTTCTTGTCCGTCACGTTTTAAGGTGATTCGTCGAACAGCAACGACAGCACTCTTGCGCAGACCTTCAAGGATCTCGTCTTCGCTGCATTCGAGAAGGTCAACTTCTGAGATGACACCGCGAACAGTATTCAGGGTACGGTGGGGGGTGACAGTAACCGGGTAGTCTCCCAGGCTTGTCATCTTCAAGAGTGCTGTGCTTTGTGGCTTATTTTCTACCTCAACAAG